AGAGCCACATTTTGAAAACTGCCCGCCCTCAGCCCGTGAATCTCTTGCAGCGTTGAGAACGAGTGTGCGCGGCGCTAGGGCGAGAGCCGCATTTTTGGAAACCGCCCGCCATCACTCCGGGAAGCTCTCGCAAGCTTTTAACAAAGAAGGCGCACGGCTCTGAGGCGAGGCCCACATTTTGCAAACCGCCCGCCCTCCACCCGTGAAGCTGCTGATGATTTCAAGGCTTCACGCTCGAAACAGTGCAGACGAATCTCAAGCGAAACGCTCGGCTCGCCTTTCCGACTGGCCTCGGGGTGCGACAGGAAGGTGACATTCATACTGACAAGGAAGGAGAGGAGGAGGAGGAGGAGGAGGAGGAGGAGGAGGAGGAGGAGGAGGAGGAGGAGGAGGAGGAGGAGGAGGAGGCGGCGGAGGAGGAGGAGGAGGAGGAGGAAAAGGAGGATGAGGAAGAGGAGGAAGCAGCCTGTACAACATACCTACCCTTATGTATCCCTGGTTCTTGTGCTACCCTGGATAATGATACACAGGCTGCTTCCACCAGCACCCCTAGCGACACCACCATCGCTTTCAGCTGCGATGGTGGCTGGGTGACAACAGAGGATATGCGACCTCTGCAAGTTAGGGGTTACCCTACAACGCTCTGGGTAACGGTCCTCGAACCACACACACTTTTCCATACGATTGCCCAGCACCTCTCAGCATATTGAACTGCTGTTTCTTATTACTCACGTGGCCAACCACCAAGACATGCGCCAGCCGCTCACACATGCTCCTTTTGTCGCAAGCTACAATCGAGCTTCGATGTATCGCACATGCAGCCTCGGACATAGTCAACCAGCAACATTTTGGCGACAGCCACTGTTCCAGTGCACGTCGATGGCTGCATGCTCCTAGCCCCAGTGTGCTAGCTTTTCCTAAGCAATATTGTCCACTACTTGGCATGTAATACGCCTTTCCTTCCTTTCCCGCGCGGGTCTTGGACACGATGGTGTTATACAATTTTAGGCAAGTTTGGGGTTGTCCCACAAAACCCTGGGTAGCGGCCCCAGGATTGCAGTTTTTCGCGCACTTCACACGCTCTCACCTCACCTCGCTACTCTATCCTTTCGTGCTTGCCAAGCGCACGCACGTTTGGACGCAGCCTGTACAACTTTCTTCCTCTTATGCTGCCCTGGCTTCTGGTACAGGCTGCTGCCATCAGCGGACCCCCAAGGACACATGATCACATTCAGCTATGGTGGTGGCTGGGCGGCAGATGCGCCCTCTGCAAGTTTGGGGTTGCCATATGAAACCCTGGGCAACGACCCTCGGATCGCAGATTATTTTACATAGCGTACGAGCGTAGGTACTTACGTGGAGGGTACCACTAACCGTCACTGGCAACACTTGAAAGCCAATCAACACGTGCAGTTGCCATACCCTTGCCAGCCAGCAAGATCTGGGCCACGCACTCACATAAGCTTTGTCGCTTCACACGTGCAGCCCCGGGCACAGCCAGACATCAACACTTTAGCGACAGCCACTTTCTCAGTACACTCACCGCAACACTTTTACGGCAGGCTATTCGTAATTGCCAAAACGTGGCCAGCCAGCAAGACATGTGCCAGCCTCACACCTTTCTGTTTCAGACTAGTTAAGCTTCGAAGTCGTCCAAGCAGCCTCGGACACAACCAGGCAGCAGCACTTGCTCGCGTACTCGCAGGTATCACTATACTACTGTGGGTGGTGTGGGGAGGTGGTTCTCGGGCGGAGGTGCGGGGATTGGGGGTACTGCGAAGCGTCACTGCAACACTTTAAACAAGGCGCCTGCAGATGCCACAGCGTGGCCAGCCATCAAATCACGTGCCAGCCACTCACACACGTTATCCCTTTTCGGACTCAATTAAGCTTCGAAGTCTCTCACATGCAGCCTCGGACACAGCCAGACGGCAACACTTTGGAGATTCACTTCTGCGCAGCAGTAAAACAGCCCCCCCCGCTCATTTTTTGCTGGTCCACACGTGAGCAGTCTGCCCACGTAGGACGTCACATCTGGGGGAGGTGTGGGTGGCGTTGCATATGATGGGTGGCTTGGGCGGACATGCTCAAATACGTCACTTCATTTACTTTCGGCTCGGCGTAGCTCCTTTCCTTTTTTGAAACCCGATTTTTGCCACATAGAAGACAATCCATTTGTTTAAACGGGGGGTCACGCTTACCTACATGGGGTGCTTGGTGACACAAACTCGTGCCTACTCCGAAGACCAGGCGGGCGCCTACGCTTCACGCTACTCTTAGCTTCGTCCCTCTTTGCTTTATTTTCCGCGGCGCCCGCCAGGTACCTCTTTGACCAGAGTCGTTCCTTAGTATTTTTCAGGCGGCACGCTGCACTTCACAAACGCAACAAACTCGCCCCTAGTGTCAGTCTAACGTAAGACATGAGGATGAGAAGGAGAAGGAGGAGGACGAGTAGGAGGAGGACGAGGAGGAGGAGGAGGAGGAGAAGGAGGAGGATGAA